TCACAGAGACAGTGCCTAGGAATACAGCCAGATCTTTGAGCCACATGCTTGGTCTATTTCTCCCTCGTGTGTATAATAAAGCTTGATATCCAGCAGGTACTTTGTCAATTATGCTATGAAGTTTTACTTTTTTCAGGTTAACTGAATTCTGTAATGCCTAAAAAATGACGAAAGGGAAAATATGATCCAATTTCCAAGGAAACTGAAAATGTAAGGGAAAGTTTCCTCTAGATCTCTTTGAAGCACAGATATGTGCTTGCAGCTGACATCTCTGAAAACTGACATTTGGATTAACTATCTCAGGAACAAATCTCTTCTTGAAAAGGTGGGAGTCACAGGCCTGCAGTGAAGCAGAGAGATCTGTCGTTTGGTACAAGAGCTATGGCTGTGTGAGGCAGGGGACAGACTTCAGAGCTAGATAGCTGCTTCTCCTGCTCTGGTGCAGAGAGTAGAGCTTCCATGTTAATGTGCACACTTAGGGCAACCACAAAACTAGGAGAAGGCTGGGTAGCGTACTAGTGGAAAGCTGGGCTGGACAATGTGTGCCAGGAACCTGCATCGCTTCGGGACCAGGCTAATCCTGGACAACAGGTCCGAGGGTTGAGCTCACAGCTGTTGAGTCTCCACAAACACAAGAGGCCAAGACATCCACTCTGTCTCCAAACACCAATCGTTCCAACTCCATCCTTGTTTCTTGTTCCTCTCTCCTTCCATCTCTACTCTCCCTCTAGTGGGCTCTGGATTTGTCCTCTACTCCCCTTTCTCTCACTCCCTTCAATCTAGTGCAGAGAGATGGCGAAAAGTTCACTTCCACCTTTGCCCCCCTTCTCTTTCCTTTTCCTTTCTCCAGTGCTGGAAATGGAGCACAGAACCACCAAGCCAAAGCGCCAGAAAGTAGGCACCAAAGCTAAGCATTGAAAATGGGAAGGAGGGGATGTCTCCAATGCAGATTTAGCCCAGGTTCTTATCCACATGTTGCCCCTAATCCCCTCCCTATCCACACACAAAACCCTCTCACCTAAGTTTAGTGATGCTTCCAACCCAGGCAAGCTGGTGCATCCAGAGTCAGAGGTAGCACCTGGGGGCTTTCACAGAGGCTGTAACCCACTCACTTTTCAATGAAGACACAGGCTAAACGACTCAAGTGCTGAAAGGCCTCCAAGTGCCTTCACACAATTCCTCCCATGTGCCCAGAAGGAGAGGCAAGTTTTCCCACAATTCACTGGGAAAGACTCCTAGAGTGGCTCAGCGCACTGCAGCACAAAGACCCATGGGCTGTGACCCCAGAAGTCCTAGAGACACAGCGGGCGTAGCACTTGAGGATACAGTAACTTGGGTAGGGCTTTGCAATCTGGCTGCTCACACCTGGGCGAGGCTAACCCAGGTGGGCTCAGACGTGGGTGCTGATCACCCAGGTTAACTGCAGTGAAGACATACATATGGGCCTAAGGTGCATCAAAATCAGGAGAGCAGTAAAAACCAGGTTCTGAAGCATCAACGTGCTGGAAAACATCCACTGAAATGCCAAGGCAAACTGCAAAGAGCTGCAAAATAGGGCTCAGAGCATCGTTGTTTGCTGAAGTGCCAACCTGAGCACCACTGAGAAAGCAAAGTGCTAAAGAAGGTCATAACCTTGGCCGGAGAGGAAAGCAAGGACTCAGCGGAGGTGGGCCAACAATGCGGTGGAGTAGTCCAGGGACAAGAAGTGGAGTGGTGGCTACAGAGCTGTAGCTCCTGCAAAGATTCCGTCTCTACTCACAAGAAGAAACTGACTGGCCAGCTCTGAGGGCAACAGGGTGGCGTAACCCGCTCATGGGGGACTGCTTCACACTCCATTGCACTACTGCCTCATAGACCTGGCTTATCTTCTGGAACAGAGGCCAGTGGATGGCACATTTAGAGCAGTATTATTATCCCCATTTCATGGCTGGAGAAACTGAGTTTTTTTTCAGTGATTTCACTAGGAGCAGCACCAGGCCTGTAGGCATTAGGTACATAGATGCTTTTGAAAATCTTACTAGGTCCCTATCTGCATCTTTAAGTGCCTAAGTACCATTACAAACCTGGCCCGAAGACTTGCCCAAGGCCGTGGAGAGGCTCAGCACTGGGATTAGAACCCAGGTTCCTGGCTCCCAGTTTTGTGTTTAGACCATTAGATTACACCTTTGACTCAGGGGTGCCATTTCAGATTGGGGGGAGGGGGAGGGGCAACTTTAACTGTGATTCCCTGGGCTACTTAGGCACTTGAAAACTCAAGTGTTTTGGCAGATTAGTTAGCAATTAGCTGACTGGAGCCCTGTATCTAATTCCTTTATAAAAGAAAGAAAATTAAATATTAGATCCACTCAGCTCCAATAACATGTTCTAACATCTTGTGGCAAGTCACTTTAGAGACACTGGTTAGGTTTAAAAATTTAATGTATATTCTTACTTTCTCTCTCTCTCCCCCCACAGGTAGTAATAGAGAGAGCGCGCGACCCTGTGAGGCCTCCTTTGTTCTATCCCAGCTCTGGGAGGAGAGCGGGGTCTAGTGGGTTACAGTGGGGAGCAGATACAGCTGAGTTCTAAATAAGAACATCAGGATGGCCAGACTGGCTCAGACCAATGGTCCATCCAGCCCACTATCCTGTCTTCTGACAGTGGCCAATGCCAGGTGTCCCAGGGGGAATGAACAGACCAGGTAATCATCAAGTTGCCTGGTAGAATCATAGAATATCAGGGTTGGAAGAGACCTCAGGAGGTCATCTAGTCCAACCCCCTGCTCAAAGCAGGACCAATCCCCAGACAGATTTTTGCCCCAGATCCCTAAATGACCCCTGAAGGATTGAACTCATAAACCTGGGTTTAGCAGGCTAATGCTCAAACCACTGAGCTCTCTCTCCCCCCACTCCCAGCTTCTGCTAAACAGGCCAGGGACATGCAGAACACGGTGTTGGATCCCTGCCCACCCCGGCTAATAGCCATTGCTGGACCTATCCTCCATGAATGTATCTAGTTCTTATTGGAACCCTGTTATAATTTTGGCCTTCAAAGCATCCCCTGGCAAAGAGTTCCACAGGTTGACTGTGAAGAAATCCTTTTTTTGTTTGTTTTAAATCTGCTGCCTGTTAATTTCATTTGGTGACTCCTAGTTCTTGTGTTATGTGAAGGAGTAAATAATATTTCCTTATTCAATTTTTCCATGCCATTCATGATTTTATAGACCTCTAGCGTATCCTCCCTTAATCATCTCTTTTCCAAGCTGAAAAGTCCCAGTATTTTTAGTCTTTCCTCATACAGAAAGTGTTCTATACAACTAATCATTTCTGTTGCCCTTCTCTGAACCATTTCCAAATCCAATATATCTTTTTTGAGATGGGGTGACCAAATCTGCACGCACTATTCAAGATGTGGGCGTACCATGGATTTATGCAGAGGCAACATGATCTTTTTCTCTTTTTCTCTATCCCTTTCCTAATGATTCCCAACATTCTGTTCACTTTAATTGCCACTGCACATTGAGTGGATGTTTTCAGAGAACTATCCACAATGACTCCAACATCTCTTTCTTGAGTGGTAACAGCTAATTTAGACCCCGTCATTTTACACGTATAGTTGGGATTATATTTTGCCAAGTGTATTACTTTGCATTTATCAGCATGAATTTCATCTGCCATGTGTTGCCCAGTCACCCAGTTTTGTGAGATCCCTTTGTAACTCTTCGCAGTCTGCTTTGGACTTAACTATCTTGAGTAATTTTGTATCTGCAAATTTTACCACCTCACTGCGTACCCCTTTTCCCAGATCATTTATGAATCTGTTGAATAGGACTGGGCCCAGTACAGACCCCTGGGGGACACCACTATTTACCCCTCTCCATTCTCACCTTTTATTCCTACCCTTTGTTTCCTATCTTAACTGAAGTGCCTGCAATGCTTTCAGGATCATCTAACCATCCTTAATTTACTTTAAGATAACAAAAGCCTTGTCATTAATCACCCTGCCTCTGTTTATAAACGAACTCCCTGCTGCAAAGGCTGTGCTGCTCCCAGCTTCCGAACTCATCACATATCACACTCAAGCTGTTGCAGTTAAGAGCGCTGTCTGGGGCAAGGGTGAGTAGACCTCCCCTACGAAACTGTGGGGGGGGGAGGCGTTAGAGCCCTCCCCTGGCCCCCTAAATGGCGCCCCTGCTTTGACTCCTTTCTAGATAGTCAGGAACCCCCCAACTTATCTAGATTCTTTTTCCATCCCAATTTTCCCTTGTCTCGAGGCACAGGGTGTCTGGGTGCTAGCTATGGTACTATCACATTAACCAGATCCACACCAACATATCGACCAGAATCTCTGTTTGCGTAACAATCTTTATTCGAAAATACATTTTCATACAGCAAACAAAGAAACCACGCTGCCAACAGTCATCCTAGCCTCTGATCCCAGAGGGTGAGATCAGCTGGGAGGCATGATGGAGTCCTCATATTTCTGGGGTACAAGGTGAGTGTTTTCATGAACTCTGCTCTGCTGGAAAAAGCTGCAGCACCTTTGGTGGCTTATACACAAGACATATTTTTAATAAATCCACAGTCAGTGAATCCTCCTTCAGGCAGGAAGGTTTGTACTTTGAAGGCAATATGAAGGCAATTCTATTGGTGGTTATAAACTAAGGGAGGATAAATTGACTGAGTCTTGACGCATGCAGTCAGACCATAGACACAGATAGCTGGGATCTTCCCCACTGATCTCATGCCCCTTTCTATATCGTAAGTTTCATATAATTTGACTAAAAGATCAGTGACGCTATCAGGCCAAGGACAAGTGAGATGACTGCCAGGTCACTTCAGTAGTAATGAGATCCGTTAGCTTGCTCTTTGGGAATTTTCAACAACAGCCCCTGTTATATAGAGGTGGGTGTGTTCTGTGCATGCCCGGTATCCAATCCTGCAGTCACCCACTGCTTTCAGTAGGCGTGCAGATCCTATAAACATTTTCTGTACTGGCAAGAACAGTGGTGAAGAGACTCCGGTGCTGCTTTTCACTGCCAAGGCACATCTGGGTTGTAGAGCGAGTCCATTCTGTACTGAGATGGGGAGGGAAATGAAGACTGGTCAGATTCAGATCCTAGGAGGTGCATGACTGCGCTGGGAGTTGCAAGTGGCTCAGCAAAGCGGGGGAAATGCCACTAGGTCACTTCTCAGGGGTTATGCCCTTCAAGTAATAAACCCAGGAAATGCCTGCCCCCATGCCTGATGCCCGGGCGCAGGAGACGACCAGCTTGCTGGTGACGGGCATCTTGCTGCCAGTGGGGTTCCCTTCAAAGGAGACGGTGATGAAGATGTTCTTCTTGGAGCGTATGGTCTCAGCAGCCTTGATGGTGAACGCTGGGTTCTCCACGTTGTAGGTGAAGGCCGTGTGCTGCAGGAACACGTTCTTGAAGGGAATGGCCGTGCTGGAGCCAGCCTTGATCTGAAAGGGGCCCTGGGGTTTGGGGGGCACTGACACGCCAAAGAGCGGGATGCTGTATTCTCCTCCGATGGGTGACGACAGGATGAGAGTTGCTCTTGATTCACCCAGCTGGTAGGGTTCATAGGTTACGTCCACACTGACCTCTGTGCCCCCCTGAGAGCCTGCGGCTGCATTGATGATTTTATCCGTGTGGAAATCTGAAGAGTCAGTCTGCAAGGGGAGAGACGGCGTCACTTGGATTTAGAGAAGGCATTTTAGCCTCTGTGGCCCAAGGTCTGACATACCCCAGAGCTCAGGAACAGCAGTGGGGTAATTTAGTATCACAGGATCCTGATACAAAATGTAGGGGGGATCTTTCCCATTTTCTAAATGAAAGGCACATTCCAGCCCCTTCACTGGGGGCCTTTCAATGCACACAGGGAATGCCCAAACCTCCCCCTCCCAACAAACTCTGATCACCTTGCACGTGTACTCCGTTCTTTGCCGGGTGTAGTTCATGAACTTGGTGGTGATGCTCTGGTTGCTGCCTAGCATGGCACGGAAGTACAGCGGCTTCTCCGGCCTGGCTGCAATGGCTTTCAGGTTCAGGTCGTACTGGAAGGAGCCCAAGTCGCTGCTCTGTAGCACCAGGCGCCCACTGACCTCCCCGACTTTTAGGGGCTGGAATTCGAACACGAGCACCCCCTGGGAGGAAAGAGAGAACAACCCTAGTCCAGGAGTGGGCAAACTATGGCCCGGGGACTGCATCTGGCCCTCCAGACGTTTTAATCTGGCCCTTGAGCTCTTGCCGGGGAGCAGGGTCAGGGGCTTGCCCCACTCCGCGCAGCTCCCAGAAGCAGAGGCATGTCCCCCTCTCCGGCTCCTACGTGTAGGGGCAGCCAGGGGGCTCCGCACACTGCCCCTGCCCCAAGTGCTGCTCCCGCAACTCCCATTGGCCAGGAACTGCGGCCAACGGGAGCTGCGGGGCAGCACCTGCAGACAGGGCAGCGCGCAGAGTCACCTGGCCGCGCCTCTGCATAGGAGCCGGAGCGACCGCTGCTTCTGGGAGTTGCTTGAGGTAAGCACTGCACACAGCCTGCACCCCTGACTCCCCCCGTGCCTCAACCCCCACCCCAGGCCTGATCCCCCTTCTGCCCGCCGAACCCCTCAGTCCCAGCCCAGAGCCCTCACCCCCCTGGCACCCCAACTCCCTGACCCAGTCCAGAGCCCCCTCCCACACCCTGAACTCCTCATTTCTGGCCCCAGCCCAGAGCCCTCACCCCCTCCCACACCCCAACCCCCAATTTCGTGAGCATTCATGGCCCCCCATACAATTTCCATACACAGATGTGGCCATCGGGCCAAAAAGTTTGCCCACCCCGACCTAGTCCATCCGCGTGGGAGCAGAAATGCTCGTGCCCAGGCCAGGGATGGAACTTAACACTTGTGTGCTGCATCATGAACAGTCAACAGCGGTTGTAACATGCAGCGCCCTTGCAACCCAATCAGTGCTCACTTGTGTAACACCAACAGACGCTGGTTGTCGGCAGGTGGAATCGAACCTGGGACCTCTGGAGCTTAATAAATGAGCCTCTACTGCATAAAAGCCATATGGCCCTTAGCAAAGGCTGTACAGCAGACTCATTAATCTCTCCCAGTGGTCTCAGTACCATTAGCTGGGACAGAACACCACAGCCAGGTGGTGTGTGGGTTACACTTGCTCAGCGCATTTATCATCTACAGCACCATGGGTTTACATGGTGGGGATGGGGTATGAATTCATTAATCAATGATCATTATTTATCAATTCATAAGACGAAATGTACCCCAGACAGGGGGACAGAAAGTGAATAAATTGTGGAACTAACAAAGTTGTTTCATTGTTCTGATCACTCTGCTTGCGTGTTACATCTCTTCCCCCCATCCACCCTAGCCTGGCTTGTCCATTTGGCTTGTCAGCATTTTGGGACAGGGATTATCTCGGATAAGTCTGTACAGGCTAAGCCACAAGGGTGCGTGTCTCTAGGAATTACTGGAACGTTGATATAAATAACGACATTTCTGATTTCTCACACGCAGATCTTGGGGGTGGGGGATGCATTGACGAAGGGGTGGAGAGCTGTGGCAAACCCCTGTAAAGCAGGAGGGAGGAGGATGCCTGTGCCAGTCCATGTCTGTATGTTTGTTAATTAACCATTCAGTGTGTCCTTCCTGCTTTGTGGAGAATCTGCCGCAGGGAAAAGGAAAAGCTCCCCGCTGGCCCGCAGACAAAGCGGCAATATTTTCCAAAATAAAGCTGTATTCTTCATCCAACTTTTGTGTCCTTTTGCTCTTTGGGCCAGGGGAGCTGGGGTGGAGAAGGAGATTGGTAGAGCAGAGAGCAGCTCAGCCCCACTTCAGCTGCTCTCGGCCTACCCAGAACAAGGGTGCGGGGAGCTGGGGTGTTTAGCGCAGCTAAGGCCTGGACAGGGGACAGAGATGATGCTCAGAAGGGCAGGCAGAAGCCTCGTGGGATTGCACTTGGAGTTAGCACAGTGACAGCACTGCCCTGGAGGGGATTGGCACAGGGGTGAATGACTCAGTAGCTGGCCTTGCAAACAGCCAGTGCAATCACATCAGTGGTGGGAAGGCCTGTGGGCTTGTTGGCAGCAACTCTGCATGTGGTCGTGTGATGTGTTACAGGCATACTAGCAGTGCATGGCAGATTCCTGCAGGGCAGTGTAATTCTCTGTAGGGATACTCCGCACATCCGCACTCCCCCCACCTCTCTGATTTGCTTACCCTCCCCATCTTCTCATTCCCATGTGACCTTTTGGGGACTGCAGCCGCTGAGGATCAGGTGGGGTCTGTTACCATTGGAAACCAGCCCCATAGTGCACACACAGCTCAGGCTAACACCTGGGCCAGGAGCACTTGCATAGGCGCCGACTCCGTGGGTGTTCTGGGCCTGGAGCACCCACCGGCAGCTCCCCGTGGCCCCGCCCCGCCCCCCTGCTCCAGCTCACCTCCACCTTCTCTGCGAGCGCACTGACGTGTCCTGCTTCTCCCCCTTCCCTCCCAGCGCTTGCACCACGAAACAGCTGATTCGCGGGGCAGGGAGGGAGGGGGGAGGAGGGGGAACGCGGCGTGCTGGGGAAAGAGGCGGGGCTGGGGCGGGGATTTGGGGAAGGGATCCAATAGGGGCAGGGAG